CAGCCACTCAACACCTCTTCAGTGTCCCAAAGAGGGGGAGAATGAGAGAAGAAAGCTAAATGAAAGGTATCCCCCTCAAGAAGCTGAGAATTATTTTGCATGACTGCCTAGAAGGCAGAGAGACCCACAACACTGCTCCAGGTAACATAGACACCTGCAGGGGTCTAGCCTCAGGATACAGGGGAAGGAGAAGGTAGGGAGAAAGAGAGATTTACTTACCTGTTGGCTAGGAGATCTGACCCTCCGAAGGGATTGGAGGCACCAAAATGAGGAGAATGATGAGGTTCAGGAGTTGAGTCATCTGTAAAGAATTCAAGAAGCAGATATTCTCCTAGTCAAGAGAGCTTTATTGATGCAAAAGCAGTGAGCTAGTCCTTAGAGGCCCAAACAGCTTACAGAAAGACAGAGGCTTGCTTTTATACACAAATCTTGAGCACTCAGACAGTATAGGCAGTTAATCACAGGGAAAAGGAAGTAGGTGTGTTGGGTACTTTTAACCACAGGGAAGGGGAGGCAGAAAAGGGGTAGCAGGTGTGTCTTGTTAACAGGTATTAACCCCTGTCACTGGGCAGATTTAGATTTAGGCAAGGCTAGTATTGTTGCTGGGCAGAAGTCAGCCTCATCATCCACCTCAAAAGGGATCTCGAACAAAGTTTGGCTGAGAGATGGGAGTGTGCAGAAGGAAAAAGTATTAGAGGATTCTGTCTAGGACTTCAAGTTTTGACTGAATCCTACATTACTCTCTCATCCCCCCCCCACCTCCATTCCCCTATTTAGTTTTGAATATATATATCCATATATATTCTCTCCTTCTCCCCCTCTTTGGGACACTGAGGTGGTGAGTGTCTGCAAGATCTTGGACATGGGATAGGATAATTACTCTCCCCTAGGTTGCCTCTTAAGGCATTGGGAAAAATTTGGAAAGGGGGAGCTTAAGAGATAATGTCTCATCTTTTTCTGTAATACAGCCTGGCCACAACATAATCTAGAGGATAAAACTATTCTGCAGTTTGAATACACACATACACACACACACACACACACACATGCACGCACATACCTACATACATATATACACACACATACACATACATACATATATACACACACATACACATACATACATATGTATGTATATGTGTGTGTGTATACATACACCATAGAAGCAGTGTGGCTTTGTGGCTAGAAGACCAGCCTCCATACCAAGGAAGATCTGGGTTCAAGTCCCAGCTCCAACACATATTAGCTCTGACACCCTGGGCAAGTCACTTCATCTCTTAATGTTATAGGTGACACTTTCCCCTGTTTCTCTGCATCCCCAGGGTACAGCATGTATTTAATAAATACTTGTTGATTTGACACTATAAATAGCAGAGAATGGGCTGCCTTACAATGGTAGAGGGAGTTTCCTCACCAAGTAACTCTCTATGTCAGCAATCCATTCCCCCATATGTAGATAACAGGATCATGAATCCAGAGCTGGAATGGACCTACCCTAATCCTTTATTGTACAGATTTAGCCATTTTTTAGATTATTTTTAGACATATTTAGGAAACTGAGGTTCAGATTAACCATTTGACAATGTCAGATTAACCACTTGACAATGTCAGAGAGGGTTGGAGGGGATCTGAAATCACATCCCCCTGATGCCCAAGCTAGTGTTCTCTCCACTGTGACATAGCTAGCTGCCTCCTATTCCATCAGGGCAGGGAAGATGTCCTTTCTTGGATAGGTTTCTGCATCCATATGCTCAGAAAAGGACATAGGAAAAGGATGAAAAATGACCTGAAGCAAAGATCCCCTTTCCCAGTTTAAACGGGCTGCCTAGAAACAAAACCAGCAGTACTAGACGCAAGGGAGAAGTCTGAATTACACACTGAAGAGTTCTGGGTCTGGAGTCAGACCCAGACTTTCAATCCTGACTTTGCCACACACAACCTGTATGCCATTGAATGAATGGCTTCACCCCTCTGGTACCAAGATTCCTCTTGGTAAAATGAGGAAACTAGATGAGATGGTTTACTCTAAGTACACCTCTAGCTCTAAATCACAGGAGTCACCTGAATAACTAGAGAGGGGGTTGGGATGACAAAAGAGTGCAAGACTAGGAAAGGCTCTGCTGGCCCAGGGTGAAAAAGACTGTCAGGAATTGGTTGGGGTGTCCAGACTCCACTTTGCAGCAACTGACAGAACAAGTGAGGGAGGCCATCTCTTCTCTTCCTTAGCCTCCCACTGGTTAGATGGGTGTCTGCCCTTTGGGTTGGTATCTTGTGCTGGGGAGAGGTTGCCCCAATGGCTCTTCCTCCAGCCTATGAAAGCATATTAAAAGCCTCCTTCTTTAGTTCAAGGGAAATATTAAGAAATAATATTTCTCCAGCCTAAAACTCTTCCAGACTTCACTCTTTAGGAAAGCAGATACTAAGAGGTCTAGAGGTTTTGGGGTGCTGGGAACCCCAATATCGGGACACTGGGCTCTGCCTGAAAGAATTTGACTCAAATCTTCTTCCAGCCAGAGGATAAGTTTATTAGTGATAAATCACCTAGGCCAGGTAACGCGCATGAGGAGGAGCAGCCATAAGAACGTCTCAGCCTTTTGGGCTTGGAATTCTCAGCCCCTGAATGAGGGCCAGGGTAAATCTTATATACTAAAGTGACTTTGGGTAACCAGGGGAGGGTCTGGGAAAAGGGTGTGGGTGAGAATTCTGATTGGAAGGTCTGAGAGATTGAATAGACAATGGAAATAGATAATGGAATCAAAAAGGTGGGGCTAGGCTTTCAAAGGGAAATAGGGGGCTAGGGCCTGTAGACAAAGGGGAGCCAGATTCCCTTTGGATCAAGGGGTGAAGACTCTGCTTGGGCCACACCCCATCAAATAGAACAAAAGTTAAGGTCTTTCTTAGAGGACTGGATTAAAAGTGAGAGCCAAATTTAACTCAGGTTGAGATAAGAACCTAGCATTGCCACTGGCCTGAAGTGAATGGCCTACTCCTAAGGGCAGTGTCCCCTTTTCCATTCAAGATTAATATATTAATGGAGGCTAGGAGGGAGAGAGCTAGGAAGTAGGAAGTAAGCTTTTTCAGTCCTTGAAAGGAATGGTCCAAGAAGGAACTAAGTGGTGACTATTCTACAAAGTTAACCCCAAACTGTGTTTTAACATATTGTGATCATCTCCTTGTTCAAGATTCCTATAAATTCTACCTCATGTCATCTGGTGCTAGACAGACTTGTCAGAGGCTATGCCAATTTGGACAGCTCTCTCTCCAAGCTACAAACGGCTTACAGTCCTTCAAAACTTGGCCCCCATCTGTTTGTCCAGTCTCCTGACATTTACTCCCCTCTGAGTACTATTCCATCTAGCGACACAAGCCTCCTGGATGCCCCTTGCAGGAGATGATCCATCTTTGGACACTGCATTTTCATAGGCTCTCCCTCCATGCCTGGAATGGAAAGCTCTCCTCATTCCATCCTCTTGCCTTCCTTAAATTCAAGTCCTACCTTCTTCAAGAGGCCTTTACCACTCCCCCTTAATATTAGCGATTTCTCTTTACAATTATATATACATATACATATGTAAAAATATATGTATACACACATATGTATATATTTATATAGTGTGTATACATATACATACACACATATAGTTTCCATTGGAATGTACTCTTTTCAAGGACATGGATTACTGATTTTGTGAGTTTTTATTTTTATTTTTGCTTTTCTGTATCCCTAGTGTTTAATATGTCAAACTTCAGAGTTCAGTCTAAGAAAAACAGAATTAGTTTGTATCAATGTTTATTTCTCTCAAAGCCAGCTGCATGCATGCGTCCATGCATGGGGGCCAGTTTGGAACCTGCTCTTTGAGGTTAGGGTGCAGGGTTTATATACCTTTTCAACAGGGACTGATGTCATTCAATCATTTTTTCACCCATATTGAAAAAATATCTTTATATCAGAAAACTCCTAGCTGTACCAGACCACTCTCAGCCTTGGGCTATCTGGACAAAAGAATCTGTCTCCACCTAAACCAGAGTAAAACACCAGCTTCCCTACTTTAGATTAAATTACTTGCCAGCTTGGGTGGAGCAGACCAGTGATGGGGGCGGGGCCCAAGCCAAGATCTTGGCCCTTTGCCCCAAAGGGAATCTGACTCACAGGCCCCAGACCCTCATCTCCCTTTGAAAACCTTAGCCTTACCTTTCAATCTTATTCAGATCTGGCTCCCTTTTGTCTATAGGCCCCAGAAAGGCCTTCCTGATCTCCTTTTGAAAGTCCTGGCCCCACCTTGGTTTTGTGCAGATGCTTTCAAACTTCTGCCTTCCTGTTCCCTCCATTATCTATTCCCATTGTCTATTCAATCTCTCTGACCTCCCCAAGTAGAATTCTTCCTAGACCCATTTCCCAACACCCTCCTCTGGCCACCCAAAGTTACTTTAGTATTTAAGATCCACCTTGGCCCTCATTCAGAGGCTGAGAATCTCATGCTCAAAAGGCTGAGAACCTCTCGTGCCCGCTCATCTTTACGGGCGTCACCTGGTCAATGTGATTTATCACTAATAAACTTTTCCTCTGGCTGAAGAAGATTTGAGTTGAATTCATTCAGCAGGGCCCGGTACTGCGATCTTGGGGTCCCAGCACCCCAAAAGTCCTAGACCTCTTCACCAGGGTGAGGAGAGTCACTTCAATCTCATTATCAGTGATGCGTCCAGTTAAAACTGGACTTAAAAGTCAGGGCTTTGGGGGGGGCAGGGCTAAGCTCTAAATAACCAAGATATTGGTAATTAATAATTGTTTTTCATAGTATATTGCCCCGCAAATACTAGGTGTTTAATAAATATTTGTTGGCTTCAATATAAAATGTTAAATGAAATAAAACTTTCTGGCCTACTTGTGTCTAAAAGGCAGAGTCTATTCCACCTCTTCTCCCCCAGCTCCCTCCCCGCCCCCCCCACGTGATTTCCCGTGATTTCCCGAGATTTCCCATAACTCTTCGGTTCTCCTCCCCTACAGCTAGTTTCATTTCTCTCTCCTCTGGAGCCATCCTGAAACTATTTTCTTCCTTGAAGGCATCTGGAGAGGATCTCAATGGCTGAGCTGCAGCCCCTAGTCAATAACCTGACCTGCTTCATCTGCCTGGAAATCTTCCAGCAGCCTGTCGCTATCCCCTGCGGTCACACCTTTTGCTCGCCCTGCCTGGATAAGGCCTGGGCCAGCAAGGGTTCCTACTTGTACTGCCCCCCAATGCCGAGTACTCTTCCTGGAGAGGCCACGGCTGAGGAAGAACACGATGCTGTGCACACTGGTGGAGCAGCTGCAGCAAGTGAAGAGCCGCTGGGATTGGGGGCAGCCCCACAGTGCGTCCCAAGATGGCGAGCCCTTGGACCTGCCGTCGGCGAAGGATGAAGCGGCAGGAATCGTGGCCTGTGACCACTGCTTCCAGGCTCCTGCGGCCAAGACGTGCTTTACCTGCATGGCATCCTTCTGCCAGGAGCACCTGCGTCCCCACCTGAACAACCCCACGTTTCACGGCCACGAGCTTCAGGCGCCCGTCGGGGACCTGGCCAGTCGCAAGTGCCCTGAGCACAGCCGCTTACGGGAATTCTTTTGCTCTCAGCACGGCGTCTGCATCTGTTGCATCTGCCTGGTGGAGCACAAGACCTGCTCCCCGGTGGCCCTGGACGTGGCCACGACCGAGCTGAAGGTGGGCAGAGGGGGAGCGGGGAGAGGCACGGTGGGGGAAGTCCTGGGCTCCATGTAAGCCTGAGCCTGGGCTCTAGCCTCAGGCCCTTGCGGGAAGCCCGGTTTAGCTTCAATTTCCCTGTGCCAGGATTAGTTTCTCTCCCCTGGGGTTTCGGGCTTTCAAGGGGAAGAACCTGTAGTTGAGCCAAGAAACAGATAGGCGGCTTGTGCATGTGGGCGAGAGAGGCTGAAGCATCTCGGAGACCCTGGGCTGGGCAAAGGTTGTTTGGGTTCCTTTTCTGTGTGAGCGTGTTGATTTCTTGGTCTGCAGAAAGAGGCGAAGTAATCCTGTCCCGTGCCCAGACTTGTTAGGAGGAAAAGCGACAGTCAACGTGAGAGGGCTTGCTTGAAGAGTAGTTTTTTTGGGGTTCAAGCCCTGCTTCCTATATGGTGGCCGTGTGACCCTGGGCAAGTCACAGTGCCCCAGGTAACTTATAGAGTTCGTGCTGTTTTGCTTTGATCGAGGGAGATTCCTTCCCCAGAATTCTCTCAGAGAGGTGCTGGGTGTGATGGGGGTAGGGCCCAAGCCAAGATCTTCGCCCTTTGCCCCAAAAGGGAATCTGACTCACAGGCCCCAGACCCTCATCTCCCTTTGAAAGCCTTAGGCTCCCTTTTGTCTACAGGCTACAGAAAGGCCTTCTCTGGTCTCAAACTGTTCCTTATCGACTTCCTTTATCTCCTTTTGAAAGTCCTAGCCCCACCTTGATTTTGTGCAGATGCCTTTCAAACTTCTGCCTTCCTGTTCCCTCCATTATCTATTCCCATTGTCTATTCAATCTCTCTGACCTCCCCAATTAGAATTCTTACCTAGACCCTTTCCCCAACCCCCTCCTCTGGCCACCCAAAGTCACTTTAGTATTTAAGATCCACCTTGGCCCTCATTCAGATGCTGAGAATCTCAAGCCCACAAGGCTGAGAACCTCTCATGCCCGCTCGTCTTTACGGGCATCACCCAGCTGAGAATCTCAGGCCCACAAGGCTGAGAACCTGTCATGCCCGCCTGTCCTTATGGGCGTCACCTAGCTGAGAATCTCTCGTGCCCCAAAGGCTGAGAACCTCTCATGCCCGCCTGTCCTTATGGGCGTCACCTGGCCTCTGTGATTTATCACTAATAAACCTTTCCTCTGGCTGAAGAAGATTTGAGTTGAATTCATTCAGCAGGGCCCGGTACCGCGGTCTTGGGGTCCCAGCACCCCATAACCCCTAGACCTCTTCTGGTGGATCCTGAGGTCTCTTCCTATCTGTGAGACAGTATTGCTAAACCTGGGAAATCGAAGGTCCCGAAATTATTTAAAAAAGTATGGTGGGGGAGTGACGAGAAGGTCTCCTCTCAGTTTCCTTGAGACCCTGATAGAAGTGACTGCCCTAAAATCATGAAGCTGAGATAAGAGGGTCATAGATCTTAGCAGATCAGGACCTGAGGTCAAAGTGACTTGACCAGGGTGACCAAGTAGTAAATGTTTGAGGAGACATTTGAACCCAGATCCTCTTACTTCGAAGCCAAGGCTCTTTCTCCTGTGGCTTTCAATTTTCTCACTTGTAAAATGAGGGGGTTAGCTTAGGTGATCTCTAAGGCTCCTTCCAGCTCTAAATCCTATGATACAGGGTCCATCAGCCCTACTGTGAATCTCTCTGTCTGTCTCTCTGTTTCTGCCTCTCTGTCTCACACTTTGTTTCTGTCTCACTGTCTCTTTGTCTATCTCTCTGTCTCTCTGTGTCTCTGTTTCTCTACCAGGCCAAAAAATGCCTTAAAACTTCTCTTTTTTTTTTTTACATGATCTGTTGTATCTTTCGGTAAAAATGTATGCTCCTTGACAGCAGGAACTCTTTGTTGTTGTTGTTTTTCTTTGTATGTGAATCTCCTAGGATGTATATATAGTAGTAGGATCTAATAAATTCTTGAATTGAAGGTGATTAGGTCTTTGAAGCCCAAGGCATTTTTGCAAACATTCTTTGAGCCTTATGAACTCTAGTCATCATCTTCCCTCCCTTTTTCCTTTTCAAAAATATTTTACTCTTTTAACAAATTCATTTTTAAAATTTTTAGTTCTCAAATCTCTTCCTCCTTCCAGCCTCTCTGAAACCCATTGAGAAGGCAAACAACGATACCTATTATACTTGTGAAGTCATGCAAAGCATACCTTTTTCTTTTTAATGATGAAAATTGGTTCCTCCACACACATTCCTTCTTCCTTAATCTCAATCTTCTTGGGGTTTTGAGGAGGTTTTTGGTGGCCGCATTTAAAAAAAATAACATTTGATTTTTCTCCCAGTTGTACGTAAAGATAGTTTTTAACATTTGTTGTTTTGGGTTTTTTTGAGTTCCTAATTTTGTCTCTTCCTTCGTCACCTCCCTCTTCCCTGAGTTGGTAAGCAATTTGATGTAGGTTATACACGTTCAGTCCTGCAAAACATATTACAAAATTAGTCATGTTGTGAAAGAAGACACAGACCCAAAGGGGGAAAAAAACCCACGAAAAATACAGAAAAGTGAAAAATAGTAAGCTTGCATCTGCATTTAGAATCAATCAGTTCTTTCTCTGCAGGTGAATAACATTTTTCATCATGAGTCCTTTGGAATTGTCTTGAATCATTGTATTGCTGAGAATAGCCAAGTCATTCACAGCTGATCATTGTACAGTATTGCTGTTACTGTGTACGATGTTCTCCTGGTTCTGCTCAATTAACTTTGCATCAGTTTGTACAAGTCTTAATAGGTTTTTCTGAAATCAGCCTGCTCATCATTCCTTACAGCACAGTAATATTCCATTATACTCATATACCACAGCGTATGCAGCCATTTCCCAATTGATGGGCCTCCCCTCGATTTCCAATTCTTTGCCACTACAAAAAGTGGTTGCATTTTAAAATTTTGAATTCCAAATTCTCTCCCTTCCTTTCTTCCTTCCCCTCTCCTTGAGAAGGCAGATGATTTGATGTAGATTAGACATATGTAGGTCATGCTACCAAAGAAAACACAGACAAAAAAAATAATCTGTAAAATAAAGGAGATTAGATGTTCTCTAAAGTTGCTTCCAGCTCTAATATTCTAATTGTGATATGTCCAAGGTAGTAGCAGACCACCTCTGTGTCCAACATTCTGTCTTCTCTAGTCCCTGACCACATACATGGCTTCTGAGTTCCCTTCTAGCTCTGTGGTTCTGTGATTGCCTATTTGGGGCTGAGGCTTTACCCAAGAGACAGGTTTTTTTGGTTAATCTAATAGGGCACCATCCTATAATTTGGGCTTTAAACAGTACACTTCTCAGTGACCTGTGTTTTCTGAGTAACTCTATCTCCCTACTGTTATCATGTCAAATTTGGCTTTAAGGTCTGGCTCTGGATTTTGGACTGAGTTAAGGGGGTTGACATTGCCAGTCAAACAGGGGAAATGGAAGTTATTTCCTGGGTGCCTAAGAGATCATATGGAACCATATTGTCAAAAGGCTGACCTCTTCTCCCATCCCCATTTTTATGTCTACAATCTGAATTAGGAATCAAGTTTTCCATGAACTTGGTATGTGACCTTGGACAAGTCATAGTAAGAATATGAGAGCTGCAAGTAACCTTAGATATCTTGGAGTTGGAGGAATCTTAACCTTTTTTTGTATATAGCCCATGTACATGCCTGTGTACCCCTTCTCAGAATAATGCTTTTTAATGCATAAAATAAAATATAATACATGGGATCATTAAAGAAACCAATTATAGAGAAATATAGTTACCAGACTATTAAAAGAACAAGTTCACAGACCCTAAGTTAAAAACACCTAATAGTCTAAATTTCCCCATTTTGCGAGGGAGCCTACCAAGACCTAGAAAATTGAAATGACCTGTCCAACATACTCTGAGTATGTTTCATGCATAAAATTACAGAGGTAATCCATACCTATATCAGAAGATTGGGAGATGAAAATAAGTCACTTGAAATGAGAGATGAATTCTTTTTAAAATTAAATTTTTTGCGATTTTTAAAAAAATTATTAATTTTTTATTTCCAAATTTAGAAAAAACAACTAAAATGATCATTTCCATATAAGTAGAAGAACAGAAAAAGAGGATTGGCATGGAAAATTAGTTCTTTACAAATGCATAGTGTTTGGGATACAGCAAGGGGACTGGCAGCTTCTGGGAGCATCATGGGGGTTGGGCTGAGGACCACTGCCAGTCAATCACTTGAATTTCTCTCACCCCTGTTGTTTTTAATTGCAGTCCAAGTTGAAGCAGAAGCTGACAACCGTATATGATCACATCAATGAGGTTTCAAGTGCCTTGAGAGATGCAAAGTCGAAACAACGTGCAGTCCAGGTGAATAGGTAACAACTTTACCAGTCATCCAGACTTAGATGACTTAGCTCCCTGACTCCCAGCTGTCCCATTTTAATGGAGATATTGACAAATTGGGGACATGCCCAGCAGCTCCCATCCAGGATTAGAGAGACCCATGCCTGAAACCTTCTGACTCTAAATTGAAGATTAAAATTTTCAAATATTTGGAGGTCTACCATGGGGAAGATGGATTAGACTGATTCTGTTTAGAGAGGGGGGCAGAACTAGTGGTTAGAAGAGGCATAATTCAGCTTACTGTCATTCCAGTCCACTACTAAGAACTTTGCACCAATTAAAGTCATCTGTCAATGTAACTGGTTGCTTTGTGAAGCATTAACTTCCCCATCCCTGGGTATGTTCCAAAAAAGCCCCCAAAGACCAATTTTTGGAGACTGTTATAGAGTGGGGAAGGTCGGATTAGATGACATCTAAGGTCCTTTTGAACCCAAAGATTCTATGCTTCTCTAGGTTTTACAAGTCATTCTAACCCTCCTTGAGAGCTAAGAATCAAAGTTGAGCTTAGAAATCCTAGTTACATGCCAAATAGGGAATCATTTCAATCACTGATGTAAAAGGTAACCTTGGACCCAGTTCCCCCTCTGACTGCTAAGTAGATAAATTGACAAATTGCGGGGCATGCCCAAAGGTTCACAGGATTAGAGGGACCCATACCTGAAGCAGTGATTAGAGTCTTCAAATATTTGGAAGTTTACCATGGGGAAGATGGATTCAATTGATTCCCTTTGCAATCAGAGGGCAGATGTAGCCCTTTGCTTATGTTAGGTTATCTAGCACTACTCTGGTGAAATGGCTGTGATGGGATAGGGAGAAAGCTCTGTAGAAGCACTAGGACTGTTCCATCTTATTTTAAGTCATTCAAAATCAAAATCTTTCTTTGGATCCCTTAGGAAACAGCAGCTAGAAAGATGGACTTGTTGAAACATGAATATGAAGAAATGAAAGTCCTCATTGAATCAGAGGAGAAGAGTGCTCTGAGGAAGCTGAAAGAGGAAGAAAAGAGAGTTTTAGAGAAATATGACCATCAGGTCCTGCTCAAGAAAAAGGGGGAAATTGAGTCTATGAAAGAAGACATTGAACTTTTGCTCATGAAAAGTGATGAAATTGCCTTTTTGGAGGTGAGTCCTCATTTAGTCAGTCTACAAGGGCTGTATTAAATAGAAACAGTGAACTATTTCCCCTGATTCCCCCCTTTCAGGAGTATCACTGTTATTGTTCTGGACCTCTAATTTCATCAGAGTAGGGAACTCCCGATGTGGAAATACACAATGTAGTATTTAATTAATTAAATTAATAATTTAACTGAAGAGAGTTACACTGAGAAGTATGTGTTAGGGGAAGGCCAGCTCTCTGGACATTTTCTTTTATGTGTTGTCTTTTCCCATTGTAATATAAACTCCTCAAGGAATTTACTGTCTTTTTTCTTGTATTTGTATTCCCAGCCATAGTGCCTGGCATTAAATGCCTATTTCCTTGTTGTACCTCACTGCCTCCCTAGCCATTATAGGGTGCTAAAAGTATATGAGAGCACTGAACCTGCTCTTCAAAAAAAAAAGTTTTGCTGATGCATCTTGTCTTTGTGCCATTATCATTTCAATACCCCCTCCATTTCTCCAGATTGAACCCTCTCTTGTGACAAAGAAAAACCAGTTAGTAAATGGACCTATTATGAGCAGCTGGGAGGTGCCATAGTGCATAGATTCTACGTGTGGAATCAGGGAGACTCATCTTCCTGAATTCAAATCTGGCATCAGATACTTACTAGCTTTGTGACCCAGGGCAAGTCACTTGGCCCTGTTTGAAAGATGCAGCTCTTATTTATTTATGTTTTTAAATTGGATCACTTACTGTCTTGGTAGTGTTGCACAGTGGAAAGGTGAGTGAAGCTAGGGAAGTAGGAGGATGTCCTGGGTTCAAGTCCAAGCTCACCTCTCTGACTTGAGGCAAGTCACATAACTTCTTTGGGCCTCAGTTTCCTTATCTGTAGAGTGATAGGGTTGGACTAGATGGTCTCTGAGGTACCTTCAACTCTAAATCATATGTTCCCAAAGTGGGTGATACCACCTCCTGGGGGGTGCTAGAATGATCCAGGGGGTTAGTAATAGCCTTGGGTGCAGTTGGGGGACATTTAATAAAAATAAGGGGACAGTGGAAGCATGAGGAAAGAAGAGAAGAATATTTTGAAAAACCATTCATACTCATTTCATCTGTTGTGTAACAGAGTTAAAGTCTTAGTGAATACATTATTTTCCTAATAAACACACAAAATACAAGCTATAACTGATCAGTGGTCAAGTCTGCTGACAGGTCTTAACAAGCAAGTGTTGGCAGGTGAGTGTGTGGTGCATTGTGGGGAAGTCCAGCAAGCAATGGCAGAAATATGTAAATATAAGGACTTGTTTACAATACTATACAGTTATATGATGCAATATTATGTCATCAAAATTTCAATGCAGGAAAAACCCACACATTTACAATAAATTATTGAATTTAAGGTGCATCATTTAAAAAAAATTTAATTTTTTTTGAAATGACACAAATTTCAAAAAACCATTGAATGGTTAAAGAAAGTAGATTTCCAGGGGCAGCTAGATGGTGCAGTGGAGAGAGCACCAGCCCTGAAGTCAGGAGGACCTGAGTTCAAATCCGGCCTCAGACCAAACACTTGACACTGTGTGACCCTGGGTAAGTCACTTAACCCCAATTGCCTAAAAGCAAAAAAAAGAAAAAGAAAGAAAAAAAAAAGAAAGTAGATTTCCAGGGGAGCACTGAGTAATTTCTTCTTTGAAAAGGGGTGGGAGGCCAAATAAATTTGGGAACCTCTGCTCTAAATCTATAAATCTATGATTGTCTATGAGGTCAGCTAGGTGGTTCAGTGGATAAAGCACTAAGCCGTGAAGACTCATCCTCCTGAGTTCAAATTTGGCCTCAGATGCAAGCTGTGTCAGTTCCTCATCTGTATGATTCATCTAGGAATCAGGAGACTCATCTTCCTGAGTTCAAATCTTGCCTAAGAAATTTACTAGCTATGTGACCTAGGCAAGTCACTTAACCCTGTTTGCCTCAGTTTCCTCACCTGTAAAACAAGCTGGAGAAGGAAATGACAAACCACTCCAGTATCTTTGCGAAGAAAAGCCCAAATGTGTCAGGAAGAAGCAGACATGACTGAAAAACGACACACAATCATACCTAATACAGTGACTGGCCTTGCTAATGCATGCAACATTCTATCCTAATGGTGTTCTGCCTCTCACTCTGCTGGGAGGAGGTAAGTATATTGTCTCTTCTACCTGACCAGGTGGTACAGCAGATAGAACTCTGGGACATAGAATCAGAAACCCTGAATTCAAATACAGCTTCACATACATCCTAGCTGTGTGACCCTGGGAAATTCACTTAACCACTTTCTACCTCAGTTTCCTCACCTGTACAATGGTAATTATAATGGCACCTACCTCAGGATTGTTGTGAGGATAAAATGAGATAATGTTTTGAAAGCCCATTGCAAACCTTAAAGGAGTATCTAAGTGCTAGCTATTATAATATATATTATTATTATTTTTCAGTTACTTAGAGTTCTACTTCCTTTTAATTTTCTCTCCGTTTGTATTGTTGTAGGCATGTGCATGTGTTGCTCCTGATTTTACTCCTTTCATTCATCATCAGGTCATACAAAACTCCCTGTGTTGCCTTTGATTCACACTTATCATTTCTTACTGCACAACACTGTTCCATTGCATTCCTGTAGCCTTTCTCCAATGAGTACTTATTTTTGCTTTCAGTTCTTTGCTATCAGAGAAAAGGCTGCCATGAACATTTTGTACATGTTGACCCTTTATTTCCGACTTTGAATTTCTTGGGCTTATTGCCCAAGGGTCTCTGGGTCAAAGGGTTACAGCTCCACCAACAGCATGTTAGTATACTTGTCCTCCCACAGCCCCTCCAATACTGAATCTTTTTTTTTAATCATTTTCTCCAATTTGCTTGACATGAGATAAAGCCTCAGAGTTGTTTTAACTTGACTTTTTCTTACTATTTAGTGATTTGGAACATATTGTCAAGTGGTTACTTAGAGTCTGCAGTTTTTCTTTTAAAAACTTTCTAGCCTTTGACCACTGGTCTATTAAGGAGAAAGGCTCTTGATATTATACGTCTCTGTCCAAATCCTTTGATTTGGAATGTTATTGAATAGTCAGAAATGAGGACTGTGAGGAGTTCAGAGACATATGGGAAAATCTGCATGAAGATGATGTGGCTGGAGGACTCTCCTCCCTTTTCAGTATCTGCCTGGTTTGTCCTCATCCTCATCTACCATCCTTCCCATGTGGCTCAGTGATAGAACTTTACTAGGGAGCAGCAAATGAAGGTCCTTCCCACCTCCACCCACATGCCCTTCTGCCTTAGTTTAGATGTCGTTTCATTTGATCCTTGTAATTATGGCGAGGACGACCCACAGACTGATTTGTCCCAGGCCTTACACTTCCCTAGCATGGAATTCAGTTCCGTACTCCCCACACCCTAGCAAACGCCCTGCCTAAACTCAGCCAAACGTTTCCTTTCAGTTTTTCTAGGAGTTGGGGAGAAGTGGAGGGTCTCCCACAGTGGTGCACTTTCACCTGGTTTCCCCTTGTGGCCAAGGCATACATGTGCATGAAGGTTTGATTATGTGAGAGATAGTGTGGTACAATGAAAAGAGAGCTGACCCCAAAGCCAGGAAGATGTGGATTCAGGTTCTGCCTCAGACTCATACTGGTTAAGTGACTTTGCAGGGCTCTAGGCAACTCTAAGCCTATAAGATGCAAAGCAGGTGCTGATCTGCGTTGGTAGAGGTCTTTCTTTAAGTAGGAGTTCCCTATACCGTGAAATCCCAGGCTGAGTCCCTGTCTCAGGTTCAGGGTGTCACCTGTGACATGGCAAAGCTACCTAGACCTGAAAGGATGAACTCTGGGATACTGGGCAAGTTGCTTTAGCACCTTTGGTCCAATTCAATTCAAGAAACATTTGGTCAGGGTTATGGCTACCAAAATGACAGTGCTTGCTCTCAGTGAGTTGGTTGTCTGTTGGGTGGGGGGAGGAAGATATATGTACAAAAAAAGTGTAATTGGAGGTTATCTGAGGAAGGAGACGACTGACAATGGAGGGATCAGGGAAGCTTTCATGGCAACTGAACTGAGCTTTGAAGGAAGTCGAGGATGCTGAGAGGAGAGTGGAGGAGGGAGTGCATTTAAAAAAGATATATTTTATTGCTGTTCTTTTACATCTATGTTCCTTCCCACTGACAGCCTCCCTTGTAACTAATCAGAATATTGAGCAAAATACAATGGCCACATCAGAATATACTTCCCGTATTGCACACCTCTGGTCCAGTAACTCCTGGAGGAAAGATGAAACTCATACTTCACCCACAGCCCTCAGAGGTCATTTTTGGTCACTACTTTGATCTGCCTTTTGGAATCTTACTAAGTGCCCTCCTCTCCCTTTCCATTGTTCTCCTGGTCCTACTTATTTCATTAGGCTTCTCTTTAAGGATTGGTCATTTCATACAGCCCATTCATAATTCACTTCATTTGTACATGACATTTTACTCATTCCCCAGCTATTGAATATCCACTTTGTTTCTGCTATAATAAAGAAGTGTTGCTCCAAACTTTTTTCTATACCTGGAATCTTTGGAGGGAATGCATCACAAGCATGAGAGCTAGTCATTTGTAAAAACATGGAGGAAGCAGGAGATGAAATGTGGAGGTCAGGAACAGCTATACTTGAACACAAAGAGTTATTATTAATGGAGTAGAATAGTTTGAGATAAGGCTGGAAAGGTAGGTTGGAGCCAGATTATTTAGGACTTTCAAAGGCAGGCTAGGGAGTTTATAAGCAATGGGTAGCCACTGAAGGGTTTTGAACAGGGAAGTAATATGGTCAGGCCTATGCCACTGGGAGATTATTTTGGCAGCTATATGAAGGGTGATTTGGAGAGAGGAATGATTGAAAACTAAGCAACCTATTAAGAAGCCATTATAAAAGTCCTGCTAAAGTCTTGGGGAGGGAGGAGGGAAGAGAGAGGGGAAATTTTTAACTCAAAATCTTATAAAAGTGAATGTTAAACTAAATATAAATAAATAATCAGAAAAAAATGCTTTGAGAGAGAACTTGTAAACTCGAAGGGCAGATTGAAGCTTTTTTTTTTTTCACTTAAAAAGTTGATTGATTGATAGCCTGGCTTCATATCAATTATGGCCTACCCAGCCTCAACTGTTTGTGACTAGGCAAAAGAGATGTGTTTAACCTGTTAAGATATTAGAAGACACCCTATTTTCCAGAGCTAAGGCCCAGCAAGCACATCTTGCCCCAGCTTGATGTAACAACAATCCTTTGTGCTCACCCTCTGACAAAATCACATAATTATTGTATTGCTTTGACTAGCACCAGGTGTTCTCTGAGCTCAGACAAGCACCAGAAAAGCTTGGACAAGTACTGGTGGTAAAGCCCAGCTATGAATTAAGCTTGTCACATTGTTGCTCTTAACTCTCATAGTCTGGGCTACAGCTCAGTGCAGAGCCATGGGTAGAAGTATTGCGATCTGCCTTGATTCCTGAAAAAATAAAATAAAATCTTGATAAGAAGTGATGAGGGACTGAAGTGATGTGGCTGTGCAGAGGAGAGAGGATGCATATGAGAGATTGTGGAGGGCTTGGTGACTTGCATATCGGGTAGGGGGCAAGGAGAGGCGCGCAGCAAACATGACTTCTAGGTTACAAAACTTCATGGCCTGCAGGGAGCCTTTGCGTATCCCTCATTTTCAGAAGAGAAAACATGTCCAGAAATGTTCAGTGAGGGGGCTGGGCTAGGTGGTCCTTAATCAAAGTCCCTTTTGTGATTCTGTGAACTTTTCCTGGGCTAACTACCTGCCTTGTTTTAGAAAGCCTCGAAACTTGTCACCAAAGCTGTGAATGTACCAGAGAATGAATTAAATCTAGAGATGATCCACAGCGTTTTTCAAAAAGCCTTCTCCCTTAAAGAGATTTTAAAGGATATAATAAACAACCCTCAAGAGAAGAAAACAGACGAGGCAACTATCTCAGGTAATTACCTTTTAAAAAAATTTTTGATCTTAAACACCAAATCCAAGTGAGATTTCCATATTCATAATAGAACAGAAAAATATTTATCCATTTAACTGCAGACTTTTATTATATGTAACTTATTTTTCTTTTTAAATATATAATAAATTCACTATGTAACTTTTAAAGCTGTTTTATCTGTGGCTTTTTCTGGCCTTCTGTTTTCTGCATTGAAAAAAAATGTTTAATGATTCTTTTGTTCCTTTTTTTTTTTGGTACCCTATCTGTATTCCCTTCTTCTTTCTAATCCTTATTGGGGACAAAAAAAAGAAAAGTCCTTGTGACATTGATATATGGTCAAGCAAATCAAATTCTCACATTGACTGTGTCTGAAAATGTATGTCTTACACTTCATCCTGAGTTCCTTATTTTTCTTTCAGCAGGTAGGTAACATGCTTCCTTATCAGTCTTCTGGAACCATAATTGATTATTGCATTGATCAGAGTCCCTAAGTTTTTCTTTATATTAATGTTGTTATTGTAAAAAATGTTCTCTTAGTTCCGCCCTCTTCACTCTGCTTCAGTTTATATGAATCTTTCAAAGTTTTTCTGACCTATCCCTGTCATCATTCCTTAATAGCCCCAAAATCAATAGTCATTATGTTTGGGACAAAAATTCTATTCTGGATGGTAGGGTGGTGGTAATTGGGGGATTATGGTGAGTAGTTTAGGAGAAGTGAAATGTCTTCTCCATATTGGACAAGTTGAGGAAAGAAATGAGTTGATACCTATTCAAAACTCTTCTGTCTTCCATTGTCTCTGCATGCTATTTAAAGCCAACAGCCAGATTCCACTCTACTTTTCTACCCTTATTACACATTGTTCCCTTTCTCATATTCTGCATGAAGAACTGGCCTTCTCTCAACTCTCTTCCTTTGCATAGACTGTACCCCATGTCTGCAATATATTTTCTCATCTCCATCTCTTAGAATCCCTATCTTCCTTCAAAGCTCAGTTGAAATATCTTCTACATCTTCTGTATTAGTCCCTTCTTAATTAACATTCCCCTTCCTCTCTCCTCAATTACCTTGTATTTTAAAGAATCACAGAATTTTTGAGCTGGAGTACCCTTGGTGGCTGTCTAGACCAACCCATACATTAAAAAATCCTCTGAGGAAAATTAAAATTAATACTACTTTGATTCTATAATGTTTTGATTTTATATTGTAATTGGATCTATATCTGCCTAAAATTACCTTCCCATGTCCTTGAGTTGTGGTTTGAGTTAAAGTTATGATTTAAAGAAAAGTTGTTTTCTCTGATACAGGTAGCCCCTAGGATACTTCCATGACATCTGTTTGTTATATTCAAGCCCCACAAGTTAACTTGGCACCATCCTGCAAAGATATGTCTTCAGTCCTTGGATGTCCTTGTGCAATTAGGGGAGTTTTTCTCTTTTCCAAGGAGACTGCAAATAGTTTTGATTCCCTAGCAAAGATTGCAAGATGCAGATGGGTCCCATTGAACAATGAACACTCCTTAGTTGTCAAAGAGGGGCAGTGATTAGCCTCATGTGAATGGCAACCCACCTTTTTCAGTTTAGCCAATTGTAATGCTCCTGTCTCAGCCCTACAACCTCTCACTTCTTCTCTATGCCTATCAAAACCTTTTCTTTGTTGCGTATCATAAAGAGGTCTCCTCCTTCTCACTGAGGTTGCCAGTCAGACCCACTTTCTTAACAGTTGTATGCATCCCTATTCATAAACTGATTTTGCTCTGAGCTAGGTCCCTCAGCCTACCTTTATTATTTTTATTTGCCACACCCTACTATAAAATACCCAACAAGTTGTCAGCTAATCTTTACTTGAAGACCTCCAACGAGGGGACAGCCCATGAGCTCTCAAGGTAGCCCATTCCACTCTTGGACAGCTCTAATTATTGTGAAGTTTCTCTTTGCAGTTTCCAACCATTACTTCTGATGCTTCCCTCTAAGGCCAAACAGAGCAAGTCTAATCCCAGCGAGGTGGTGCAGTGGCTAGAGTGCCCAGCCTGGAGTCAGGAAGACTCATCTCCCCAAGTTTAAATCAGGCCTCAGACGCTTCCTGGCTCTGTGATCCTGGGCAAGTCACTTAACCCTGTTTGTCTCAGTTTCCTCATCTGTAAAATAAGCTGAAGGAGGAAATGACAAACCACTTTAGCATCTTTTCCAAGAAAACCCCCAAATGAGATGGACAAGACTGAACAAGAACAAAAGTGACAGCCCTTCAGATGCTGGAAGACAGCTATCATGTTCTCCCTGAGTCTTCTCCATACTAAATATTACCAATACCCTGAACTGATCCTCCTAAGAAATGGATTCAAGGCCCTGCATTATCCTGGTTCCTCTCCTCTGGACTCTCTCCAGCTTACCAATGTTCTTCTTAAACTGTGGCAACAAGAACTGAACACAGTATTCCAGATGAGGTATGACTAGGGAATTGCACAGTGGCCCTATTATGTCCTTATTCCTAGAAACCATTCTCCTAATACAGCCCAGGATTATATTAGGTTTTGGGGGGGGTTTTTTGTCTCCCACATCAATCCTACTGCTGACTCATATTAAGCTTCTGATCCACTGAAATCCCCAGATCTTTTTAAGAATAACTGCTGTTGGGGCAGCTAGGTTGCTGAGTGGATAGAGCTCTGGCCTTGGAGTCAGAAGGACCTGAGTTCAAATCCAGCCTCAGACATTTGACACTGTGTGATCCTGGGTAAGTCACTTAACCCCAATTGGCTCACCAAAAAAAAGCAGAAGAAAAAAAGAATAACTGCTGTTTAACTATGCCTCTCCCATCTTGAATTGTGAAGTTAATTTATTTTTTGATCCAAGTCTCAGTTGAATTTCATCTTATCAGATTCAGCCCAATATTCTAGGCAGTCCAGATGGTTTTTTTTAGCCCAGATGTATTTGAATCCCAATTCTATCATTCACTATCTTAGTGATTCCACCTAGCTCTGTATTATCTTTGTGTAAAGTTTCATGAGGATTCTATGTTGTCATTTGGTCATTTTTCAGTCCTGTCTGAGTCTGTGACCCCATTTGGGGTTTTCTTGGCAAAGATACTGGAGTGGTTTGCCATTTCCTTCTCCAGCTCATTTTATAGATGAGGAAACCAAGACTAACAGCATTAAGTGACTTGTCCAGGGTCACACAGTTACTATTTGTCTGAGGCCAGATTTGAACTCAGGTCTTCTTGACTCCAGGTATAGTGTTCTATCCACTCTGCTACACAGCTTCCCATGGTACCTACCATTTGTGCCCACATTAATCTCCAGAAGCAAATATTATCATCTGTTTCAGCAAGTCTTGGGAGGCTCAGGTCTTCAATATATATCTTGGTAGAACAATAACCCTCTATTTTCTTGTTACCAGGTGGATAAGTAGCTGCTTAAGACCCCTAAGCAGGGATTCACCTACTGTTACTACAATTAGTATTATTTATCACTTCTTCTATGATCCTTACTAAATATCTCATCTGGTAGCTTTGGTGGCTCTACTCTACCATCTTATACAGGACTAATTGCAGGGAATCACTACCTTCTATTACTCTCTGATTCTCCCTCAATCTTTTACTTATTTACATTGTATAGACTTTATTTCTGCCTATATGTTTGCATTGTCTTCCACCTGATAGAGTATCAGCTCCACAGAGAACAAGCCAAGCACAGTTTCACTAATGTATCTGTATCCTTGGTGCCAGGTGAATAAGAAGTGCTTGATGGTTAATTGATAGCCCCGCTCCTGATCTCTCTTCTGGATTCAGCTGGGCGGTTTTCATTATCATTTGGTTGTTTATTTCTTTTTTATAAAACAGACTTTGCCACCACCCGGTCATCTCCTGGCAGAAGCTGGCTGATTAGTTTGGGGCCACTTAAATCAACTTTAAGGGAATTTTACATTTGATCCAAGTCATAACTTCTCTATGTTGTGATCTGTCAGCACCTCCTAGCCATATCATTTTGCTCATTAGCCTTGCCACTAAAAAGTTGGTGTAGGCCAGAAAAGAAGAAACTCCAGATTGGTCTGCTAACTACCTTCTTCACTGAAATTATACTTGATTGGGTGGAGAGGCCATTGGAAAGTGTTGACCAAAATGAAGTGTTTAAATCGTCCATTAATTTCAAATATCCAAATTCTCCCTATTCCCCCAGTGTGTCTCAATTAACTTGTTAAGCATTTATTAGGCTTCTGCTCATATTCGAGGCATGTGCTAGACGTTCAGGGGGATTACGAGGACAGACAAGTATAGGCACAATCATTCTATGGCTTAGAGTCTAGTACAGACAACTGGTATATAAAACAGGTTGGCTTAAGTGCACAAGAGTGGTGCAGACATGCTCAATAAGCATTTATTAAGCATCAGCTGTGTGCCAGGCACTGTGCTAAGTGCTGAGTATATAAACAAAGGCAAAAAACAGTTCAGGGAGCTCAGAGTTTAATGGGAACCAACACGCAAACAACTATGAACAAAGCAGACGTGCAAGATAAACTGGAGAGAATCATCAGAGGGAAGGCACTAGCGTGAAGTCATGGCACTGGTAGAACCAAGGAGGCCAAGAGATGAGGTCTGTCTTGGGGGAAATCAGTGAAGACTTGTAGAAGCATAGAACTTTAGAGCTGAAAGGGATCTCAGAGAGCTAGCTCCAGCTTTGTGGGGGAGGTGCATTTGTGTTGGGTCTTAGGGGATGGGCAAGATTTCAGTTGTCACAGATGTGGGAGAAGAGTATGATAGGTATGGTAAATGTTGTGAGTACAAGTACAGAGGTAAGAAATGATGGGATGTTTCTAGGAGATAACAGGTAGTTTGGCTGGGCTGGAGAGAATCTTGTTAAATGAGACTAGGAAAAAGCAGACTGAGAATAGATGGGGTTAGGGGTAGGGCTTTGCGTTGGGTTGGGGAGTTTGCAGAGTGGCTGATGTGTTTGTTTGAAGCTCAGTTGTGTGTACTGATCCCAATCTCTGTTGGAATAGTTGATTCTGGAAAACCTTCGTCTTTCTTTGGACCAACATATCCCAACAGAGATTATCAGATGCCCAGTAAGTAGCTCCTCATAAGGCTATGCCTATGATGATGCTTTTTGCTGAAGAAAAGCTTGTTGGTAGATGTTCATGTCTCTGTTTTCATCTCTCAGAAGGCGACAAACCAGAGCCCAAGCTGCAAGGGCAGCAGCAGGAGAAAAGTGGGGTTACAGATGAGAGTAAGTAAATATGGAAGAACAAAAAGCAATTGGGTTTTTGTTTGTTTGTTTTGCCATCTCTACCCAGTAGACAGCCACTGAGGAAGCTAAAAAGATTTTGCCTTGACCATTAGATGCTGGGTAATCATGCAGTTCAACCCTCTAATTTTACAAGCAAGGAAACAAGGCCAGAGAAATTTAGTATCTTGTCTGAGGACATAGGTAGTAAGTAGCAGAGTGGCTGTTCTAACCCAGGTCCTCCAATGACCTTTTATTTAAACTTTAGTTTGATATGCTTTCATGTTTGGATTCTGATGTCTTTTGTTCTTACATGACAGTAATTTCTGGAAATATCCTTCCCTTTTCTTTCCCCAACCCTTCAAAATTGAACCCTCCCTTGTAACAAAAACAGGCAAAAACACCCAAGAGGTGACTGCATGTGATAAGATATATAAGATTCTTTCCTAGTAGATCTCTGTCTCTTTGCTGAGAAGAAGATAAGAATGTCACTTTCTCCTGAAGTATTTGAGAGTTTGGTGGGGATATCTGTAGACCAAAGAAAAATTTGGGAAGAGGTAGGGTGGGGGGGGTCAAAGAAAAGGAAATAAAATAGGGTCACTGAAAGATTTTTTTAAAAGAAAAGTGAACTCTATATAATAGAAATCTGCAAATTCATGTACAGTTCTCTTTTCTTTTCTAGTACCTCTCAACCTCTTTTTTTCACTTGACCATCCCCAGAGAAGCCTTTCTCCTCACCAGCTGCTCCTCCAGCTTCCGGTGCCAAGACCCTGCTGGACAGTGTGGAGAAGATGAAGAACTCCCCAAGCCCACCAGCCCTCACAGACCCAGCTGGAGTAGCAAGTGCTGGGGTGCCTTCCCCACTGAAGCCAGGCAGACCACCCATTGCCACAGGACATTTTTTATTTTCAGACATTATTTTCTCTGAAATGTTTGACCTTTAATTCCTTTAGATGAATGTTGTTATGTATGTAATTCTATAAAATAATCTTAGTGTAGTTAGTTTGATATGACATTAAATCTGTTAACTAATTTAAGTGCTGTCATTATTTCTTATTATGAAGACGTCTGAGTGTGAATTGTTGAGGAGCTGCTAAGATTTTATATACATTTTGTAACTACATTGAATGGAATTTCTTTTTCTGTCTCCTGCTGAGTTTTGTCACTAACTTAAAGAGAAAATGGGCTTTGTAAATATCCTGAAATTTTCTGAACTTGTAAATTTCTTTGATTAACATTTTCATTGAAGCTATTATATTATCTGCAAATAGAGGTGATTGTGCCTCTTCTTTGCTTGAGCTGATTCCTTCCATTTCTTTGTCTTTTTTTTTTCACCCTGGTAATGGCCAGCATTTCTAGAACTATATCAAATAGTACTGGTGACAATGGCCATCTTTTCATTGCTCTTGATCTTATTGAAAGACTTTTTTTTGGTACTTAATAGTATTTTTTTTCCAGTTACATGTAAAGATAATTTTCAACATTCATTTTTGTAAGATTATTTTTTTTCCTTTTTGGTGAGGTGATCGGGGTTAAGTGACTTGCCCAGGATCACACAGCTAGTAAGTGTCAAGTGTCTCAGGCCAGATTTAAACTCAGGTCCTCTTGACTCCAAGGACAGAGCTCTATCTTTTGTAAGATTTTGAGTTCCAAATTTTTCTCCTCTATCCCTTGCTCCCCCCACCCAAGACAGCAAGCAATCAGATATAGTTTATATATATACAATCATGTTAAACATATTTCCACGTTAGTCATGTTCTTTCTCTAGACGTGGACAGCATTTTCCATCACGCGTCTTTTGGAGTTGTCTTGGATCACTGTATTGCTGACAAGAGCTAAGTCATTCATAGGTGATCATTACACAATGTTGCTTTTACTGTGCACAACGTTCTCCTGGTTCTGCCTACCTCACTCAGCATCAGTTCATGTAAGTCTTTCCAGGTTTTTCTGAAGTCTGCCTGCTCATCATTTCTTATAGAGCAATAGTGTTCCATTACATTCATATACCACATCTTGTTCAGCCATTCTCCAATTGATGGGCATCCCCACAATTTCCAATTCTTTGCCACCACAAAAAGAGTTGCTATAAATATTTTTGTATATGTGAGTCCTTTCCCTTTTTTATAATCTCTTTGGCATACAGACCCAGTGCTATTGCTGGATCAAAGGATATGCAGAGTTTGATTGCCCTTTGAGCATAGTTCCAAATTACTCTCCAGAATAGTTGAATCAGTTCATAACTCCACCAACAATGCATTAGTGTTCCAATTTTCCCATACCTCCAACATTTATCACTTTCCCTTTCTGCTATATTAGCTATATTAGGCGTGAGGTGGTACCTCTGAGTTGCTTTACTTTACGTTTCTCTAATATAATGCTTTGTGGAGTGGTCATCTGTTCTAGTTGCCTCCAAACACAGGCAGCATATTTTTTTCTGACCTATCCCTGCCCATGCTGAGAAGTTGCAAGTTTGTTCACCCGTGATTGTGTGGATTTTATTGGCAGGTCTTTCCTAGTGTCTGTTGGTTTCTACCAGACTTTCTCTTTAGTTTTAGGGTAGAAGTAGTCACTTTCTGTAATTTCCCATTGGATTTCTTGATCTTTAGTCAGTCTGGTATGAACTGTAGGTTTTGGCTGGACTCAGTTTGGGGGAGCTAAGGTTTCTGCCTCTGATCAGACAGCCGTCTTGGCCAGAAGTTAACCAGAAAGTATTTAAAAGAGAAAGGAAAAGCTGTGATGACTAATTGGATGTGAGGAGGAGAGTGGGATAAGTTAAAGATGACCCATACTTGGGCGAGTTGAAGGATAATGAAGTAATTGGCAAAAGGGGAGTCAAAAGAAGAAATGTGGTGGTGGTGGTGGTGATAAGTTCAGTGTCAGACTAGCAGTTTCTGCATCTGTACAATGAGCTGAAGAAGGAAATGGCAAATCACTCCCATATCTTCGCCAAGAAAATTCCAAATGGGGTAACAAAGTCAGACACACCTGAAATAACTAAACAACAATAAGCAGGTCTTGACCTGAAGTCTGTAAATTCATTTTAAGAAGATAATTTGATAACTATATTTAATATAATTGCTTCTCTTTCTAATCCTATGTATTTTATATGTATATGCATTTATAAACACGATATTAAGAAGGGGTTCATAGGCTTCACCATACTGCCACAGGGACACAGGCACCCATGACATATAGGTTTAGACAATGAATTTGAGATGCTGGCAGAACACCTGGGTGTTTTTCAATAGTTTATTGGAAATGTAGTACTGGAGGTATAGAGTTGGGAACCATCAGTATAAAGGAGATAATGGAAGGACAATCTGAACATGGAAACCAGCTCATGCCTATGCAGCATAGCAGCTGAGAGGTAAGAGGACACTGCTGGGATTGTGTTGGGTAAGAGGAAAGGAAACCAGCCTGGAGTTGAAATCTTTCTGAGTTGGACAAGAACTTTCTGGGTTATGAAAAGAAAACATTTGTGTGCACGCATGCATTTGTGTGTGTGTGTGTGTGTGTGTGTGTGTGTGTGTGTGTGTGTGTGTTGTTGAAGTCATATGGTAAAAAGAATAGGAGTACAAGAAGAATGGAGGAAAGCCATTTCCATGCTACAAGTATGAATGGAAGTATGGTGATTAGGAGGCAGAGGCTGTGCTAAGGAATATAGCCCTGCCACAGCCACAACACAGTCTGGGCCAAGTGTTTGCCAAGTAGGGCAGAGGACATCATTGCTTTTTCAGTGCTATCTCAAACACAATTCATGCTGTCCTTGGACCCAACCCCTAGATTAGAGATTTTTGACCTTTTTATGTCATGGATCACTTTGACCATCTGGGGAAGCCCACGGACCCTTTTTGGAATCATGTTTTTAAATGCAGAAACCAATTATGCCAATACACAGTAGCAAAAAATTCAAGCAAGAAGTTTAGCCACCCCAAGTTAAAAACTCTTGCTCCAGAGCAATTCTATTCTATCTCAAGATTTCTAACTGTTTCATAAGACATAGTCCTATTTTTCTGGTGGCTAAGAATCAGAAATTTAGGGGATGCTCATCAATTGAAGATTGGCTAAAAAAGCTGTGGTATATGATTGTAATGGAATATTATTGTGCTATAAGACATGACAGTCAGGATGATTTCAAAAAACCTGGAAAGACTTGCATGAACTGATACAAAGTGAAATGAACAGAACCAGGAGAACTTTATACACAGTAACAGCAATACTGTTCAGTGAAGAATGGTGAATGACTTAGCTATTCTCAGCAATACAATGATCCAAGAAAATCCCAAAGAAGTAATAATGTTGCATGTACTATCCACCTCCAGAGAAAGAAACTGATATTGTTTAAATACAAACTGAAGCGTGCTATTTTTTACTTTCTTTCATTTTTCTTTTATTTGAGTCTTCTTGTACAAAATAACTAATTTAGAAATGTTTTACACAATTGCACGTGTTTAACCCGTATCTGATTGCTTACTCTCAGAGAGGAGAAGAGGAAGAAGGGAGGAACAGGATTTGGAACTCAAAAATTAAAAAAACTCTCCAAATATTAAAAAATTGTTTTACCATGTAATTGGGGAGGGTGGCATGGAGTAAAATATATTTAAAAATAAAATAAATTGGGTGATTGAAAAAAAATAAGATATAGTCCTGTATAAGCTCATGGTTACTTAGTAATACCAAACATGTTGCATTTTCATCTACCTTGCTCCTGCTTTCTAAGGGTGATGAGGCCTTTCCATCTGCCCTGCAGTTGTGCTGCTCTATATGTGTTGTCTAGATCAGGGATCTTTTTAGCTTTCTATTTGTATTCCCCAGCATTTAACATAATGCTTTGCACATAGTAAGCACTTTAAAAAATGCTTTTTTTCATGTGTTTGTTCATCTGTTCATGGACTGCTATAACTGAAAAACTTAGATCTGTGTGGTTTTTTTGGTCATGTATGCATGATAATGGCCTCTGTATTGGTATGTAATGTTTTTACTCCTTTTCTGGTCCTTTTGAATTTCCATTGGTTCTATATTGCAAAGATTGTGCTCATGTTTGTCTTCATAACTCCAGTATCAACACAGCAGGCAATTCATAAATGTGTTTTGCATTGCATTGATAGGCTCACAGGAAGGGACTTCAGAGGTCATCACATCCATTTTCATCATTTTTTCACTTAATTTTTTGTTTTTCTAAACTTGACAAACACTAACATTGCTAGCTTATTTGCTTTTTAAAATAATATAATAAGAAATAAATAAATAATATAACATAATTTCAACATGTTAGTTTCCAAGCTTTCCTGCTTGTCTGTTTTCCTCTGAACCTCCTGTTTCCTTCTGTGAATTCTTTTAAATACCTCAATTACACTCTTTTCTTTGTCTTTTCTTTGTCTTTTTGGAGGGGGGAGCAGTATTACTAGGTGCCCTTTTCTCCAATAAAAATAAAAGCCCTTGTAACAAAAAAACCTTAGTCAAGCAAAGCAAATTGCATATTGACCATGACCAGAAATATGTCTCATACTACATCTTTAGTCCATCATTTCTCTGTCAAGAGATGGGAGGTATTGGATCCTCTGGAGTTATGATTGGTCATTACATAGTTGCAAGTTCTAAAGTCTTTTAAGTTACTTTTCGTTATAGTATTATAATCACTGTATATATTGTTCTCCTGGTTCTTCTCACTTCACCCTGAATCAGTCATACAGGTCGTCACAGAATTCTCTGAATCTATCTCTATCATCATTTCTTAGGATGCAGTAACATTCTATTTACATTCCTATACCATAGTTTGTCCAGTCCTGCTCCCTTAATTGTCAGTTCTTTGCTACAGTAAAAAGTACTGCTGTAAATATTTTTGTACATAAGGATCATTTCCCTCTTTTTTTTAACCTCTTAGGGGGTATAAATCTAGCAGTGACATGTGAGGGTGAAAGGAAATGAAGACTTTGGTGACTTTTAGAGAACAGTTCCAAATTGCTTTCCAGAATGACTAGTACCAATTCATGCTCCACCAGCAGTGCATTAGTGTGCCTATCCTGCCACATCCCCT